ATGGTTGAAATAACCCATTTTGAGCTTAAAACATTATGAGTTCAATACATTTTGCAAATGTCTACTAGAATTGTATAACTGTCTTTGCACATATAACACAGGTCTTAGGCATGTCAGCAAGAGTAGAATTAAGTTGAAGACTGCATAAATCAGTTTGTGTGATTTAAGGATAGCAGGTAAAATAAGAAGATTATCCAAATAACAAGAACATTACTTTTCTTGTATAAATTAAAAGATAAGTATAGAGGTTTACTCCTCTGTGATAATTCCCCTTGAACATATTTTATTTTGGAATTGATGCAAATAATACTGAAACATTGCAATTTTAAAGTATGTTTGGTTTTGATTTGTTTCAAACAACCTACTTCCTAAAAGACATACATATTCAGCAATATTAAACATATTTATTTATTCATTCTTTCGTTTATAGGGGGTGTGGTAGCCGAGCAGTTAAGACACTGGACTTGTCGACTGAAAGATTGGCAATTTGAGACTCAAGTACTCCGTGACGGGATGAGTTCCTGTCCTTGCCCTAGCTCCTACCAGCCTAGCAGTTCGAAAGCATTCAAATGCAAGTAGATAAATAGGTACCACTCTAGTGGGAAAATAACAGCATTCCATACACTTCAGGGTATAGTCATGCCAGCTGCAGGACCACAGAAGCATCTTTGGACAACACTGGTTCCCTTGGCTAGGATGAGCACTGATCTCTACAGTCAGATATAACTGGACAGGGGAAGACTTTACCTTTTACTTTTCATTCATTTGTATCCTGTCTTTATTATTTTCACAAATAACTCAAGGCAGCAAACTTATCTAATATACCTTCCTCCTCCTATTTTTTCCATAACAATTCTGTGAGGTGGGTTGGGCTGAGGGAGAGTAACTGGCCCAAGACCATCCAGCTCCGGTTATCTCTCTGAATAACTTGTGTGTAAATATACCAAGTACACTTTTTGCCCCCTTGCTTCATGCTACTGTAACTATAATATTCATTTTGATGTGGTTTATTTAAAATCACATTCTCTATATTAGACAGCACATTGTGTTTACCAGTTTATTTTGCTAGTAATTTATGTAACTTTAATTTGTAAAAACAAGTTGGCTAATATTGCGTTAAAAGTAATATTACTTCTCCATTCCGTTCCCCACAAATACCCCATATTTTTTTGAGCAAGAATATGGATTAGAACATTTTTCTTTCTTTTTTTCAAATCTTGTACTACTGAGGCCTCTCATTATCCACATTTCTCTTAACTTTGGGCCTATGTGTGTGTGAGAGAGAAAGAGAGAGACTGTGACTGTGTGTGTGCATGTGCATATTGTTTATGGATATTTTCAGCCTTTCACTTCATGACATAAGTTGTTCTCTAGCTGATACCATCACCCATTCTGTAATTGGATGCAGATGATATCCTAAGTAAGGGAAGGCTGAAAGAAATTTCTTTATGAATTTGAAGCTTGTGGAAAAGAAACATTTATATCTTCTGGTATCCCATTTTCAGGGGGCTATGTCACAGTTCACTGAGATGAGTAATACTGTGGTTTTCAATTTATATTCTTAATTCCCTCCTTGAGAAACAACAATGTGCATTATTTCCAAAACAGCTAGCTAGAGATTTGAAAAGGCATTTTGTTTGGAGAGAAATCCCTAGAAGACAAATCATGTCCTGATTCATAGTTCATTTGTATGAACTATGAAGGGTATATAAGATGTCAGCAAGATGCTTGCTGACCTCTGGTGCTAAATGAATAAGAGAAGGGGGCTTCAACTAGTTTGATATTCTGAACATTAGTGGCTGCCACACATGTGCTAAAGAATATAATACAAACTCTTTCCTATGCATTTGCACTAATCTTTACAGAAAATTAAAACTGTGGATAGGATCTAAACTACAATGCCTTCTTTGATCTCTTTTCCTGCTCTAGGTGTAGAAACACATTGATATCTTTGCATTTGTGATTTAAATGTAATTAAATTAGCTCAGTTTCATCTTGATACTTTTAGCCTTTTTCTTTTTTCTTTTTTCCTCTTTCCTTTAGAGTGTATCTTTGTGTCTTTTTTTTCCCAGTACAACATTTCCTCTATTTTAGAAGTTTTCCAACATAGCAAATGTTTTTTGAGTTCTATTTTATTCTGTATGTAAATTAAATAAATAGGATGACAGTATACAACCACGATATAATCTTTTCTTGATTTTGAACACATTAGTTCAGGGGTATCAAACTTGCAACATCCCATGACGTGTCGCGACGTATCATGACTTTTTCTCCATTGCCGGCAATGGGGTGAGTGTGGTTTTAGCATGACGCATCCGGCCCATGGGCCAGCAGTCTGATACCCCTGCATTAGTTGAAGATGGGGTAGTCCACTATGTCCATATTTTTAAAGACTATCCACAATTGTTTGTAGTATGCACAATCAAAGGCCTTATTATGCACAGGAAATATCAGATATTTGAAATGTGATCCTGGGTGTCTGTCCCTTTTCTGAGACCAGTTTCTGCTTCTATAAAAAATTGACAACCATTAGTTTTATTTTAATTAAATGACTTTTTAGGACCAGAGCAGAAAAACCAATATACATACTCTGGGTACATGAAGATACTACTTTCTATAACTTTATTGTAATCATTTTATTTCATTGTTAAATGAATAAGGAAAGACATGAGAAATGATCATAAACATATCTTAAGTTTAGGTTACTTGAGAACTTCATATAATTCAGGACAATACTTTTCGTAGGATGAATTAGATGTTCAGCTTACAACACAATACTTGGACTGGATGAAAAAATAACCAGAGCAACTTGGCCTAAAAATAGGCCTTCATCTGAAAACAATGCATTGGCCTTAGGCCTTTGCTACAAAACTTTTTATTTTCCATTACCTGTATAATAAATGAAAAAAAACCTGTTATTGGCAAAAGATTGCTTTCATCTTTTTTTTTTTTTTTTTTTTTTTTTTTTTTTTTTTGAGGTAAAGAAGAGGGGACATGCCGTTTATTTCTGCCTTTCTCATTCTCCTTTCCGCCTCTTCCATTTTTAATTTAATAGCATAAATCATGGCAGGATGTTTCTAAGGACAGTTTACCAACAGTATTAATTGGCTTTCTCAAAGCTTTCTCTGTGGCCATCCCTGGTTTAATTTGTTTAAGATTTGAACAAAAGGCTAAACATTGAACACTAAACAATAAACAGTAGAAGATCCTGTTTCCTTGAAGCAATTATCATTTTATACCCAACAATTACTTTTTTGTGGCATTTTTTAAAAACAACTAATTATGCGGGGACTGTATGAGAGCACACTCAATAAGTGGTTCTTCATGTTCTCAGCATGGTGCCAAACACGTTACCATAGACAACCCTGTGCAATATAGCCTCTGAGAAACTCTAAATAGTGAATGTCATCTCGCCTTGACTGTCTCATCTGAGCAACCTATGAAGAGGAATACTAAACAGAAACAGGTTCTCTTCTTTGTTTTTCCCTCTCCCTCTGATTGTTGACTGGATTTGAACCTGGATCTTAGTCTGACTTTCTGCTATTTACCACACCAGATGTAGTCTGTTAAAATGGAATGAAAGTTTGCTATAGAAGAGAATATTTGAATGAGATTTTTACAAGCATTTTTTGTTCTAATATACTTTTACTTCATGGGGGAAATGACCCAGAGTGGAAAAATGCACTTGAAATTATATTATACAGTGAATGTCTCCAAGACCATGAATATTTTATTTTATTTATTAGATTTATATAGCTGCTCACCTCACGTTTTGGCTTGTACCCTGCATCCCCTGGAGGTTGAACATTTTTTCGAAAAACAAGAAATGTAGATTCTGAGCATAAGAAAATTGACCACGCTTTCTTTAAAAACAAATGGTTCTCAGCTAAGTGCATATCTTATCACAGGTGGCATTCAGAAGTAGGCTACGTAAGTCACTTAAATGTTCAGGTGTTTAAAATTAACTGTAAGTAATAAACATAATAATGGAATGCTTATAAACATGTTTATGATTTTCCTGGAAAAGAAAATTCCAGATCGTGTTTGATATAAAAGAAAGTTATTTAGTGAAGTATTGGAGTGGGAAAATAAAATACAAAAGGTTGACAACCATTTAGGTCCTGAATAATATCAACATTTTCCAAACTTTTGATGGCTGAAACCAGTGCTTTTTGTGTAAAAAAAAAAAAAAAGTGCCGGAACTCACACGTCACGCCTTGCCTACCCTATAAGGTTTACCTTTGTAGTTGAAAAAAACCCTTCAATTTTTAGTGTATCTAAAAGATTAGGATTTTGTTCAAGGCAACTCTGGAAAATCTGTCAAAAAAAGGTGCCGGAACTCCGTTCTGATGCATTCTATGACAAAAAAAAGTCCTGGTTGAAACATACTAATTCTCTGAATAAAATAAAATTTCTAAAATTGTGGGATTCCAATTCTTTAATATAGTGGGACTTAAGCTGCAAATAGTTAAAGATAGTCCAGCAACATAATTCTTGCTAACTGTTACCTGAAAAAATAATTCCGCAGCATTTTGGTTTCAGGATTCAGTTTAAGATGCTGCCATTTTGTTGGCTTTTCTAGTTTTTAAGATCAGCATCCATGGCTTGTTTTCTGCTCCTACAGGAAAAACAGAGATTGGGGATATCACAACAGGGTGTTCTTTATGGTAATTTTACATCTTTCTTTTGTCTTCCTTCAGGAATTCAGAATGGTCCCTTCTATTAACTTTCTGGAAAAGCTTTTATATTATGTTTGGTTAACTTTACTATATTGCCCATTTAAATAAGTTTTAATTAGTGTTACTATTTTATTGGTAATATTCTATTTAATACAAGTAATTGATCAACATTAAATAATTATTACTAAAAGAAAGTCTGTGAGTATTCTCGGTAATTTCTAGATTATTTTGGAAAGCAGTTGTAAAGAACAACAGTGAATGCAATGAATCATCTTCAAAGCAAAGGATATAATTTTATTATTATTTTTTGGTTGTTTATAGAGATGGTTTCGAATGACACTGATGATGTTTTTGGGCTTCATGGGCAAGTTGAACACAAGTTGAACTTCCTCCGAAAGTATGTGCCAAAAGATGTCAAACTTATACTTATTGGACACTCAATTGGCTGTTATTTTGCTCTTAAAATTATGAAGCACTCACCAGAACTGGAGGTATGTCAGAGATGTATAAATTTATTCAACATTTTCTTTCTCCAATCCCCCCATCCTAAATTGACCATATTTGTATAACAATAACCTTAATTCTCAATCACAGAAGATGGCCCTGACAAGAAAGGGTTAATACACTTATATTAACAATAATAATAATTGTTTTTCTGTCTGGGACAGTGGTTCTCAACCTGTGGGTCTGGACCCCATTTGGGGTCGAACGACCATTTCACGGGGGTCGCCAAACAACGCAGTCCGCCATTTTTTCCCCCTTTTCCTTAGCTGTGCTACTCCCTTTTATTCTATTGGCTTTTGAAAGCCAATAGAATAGACTCTCTTGAATAGAGTCTAATTCTATTGGCTTTCAAAAGCCAATAGGAATTGTCCAGGCTGTCTCTGCCCTGCTGAGCCCGCCAAAAGTCCCATTCTGCAAACGGTGCTGCACCAGTTGAGTAGTCCTCGACTTACGACCGGTTGAGTAATCCTAGACTTACGACTGGTTGGGGGTCACGGCATTAAAAAGGTTGAGAACCACTGGTCTGGGAGATTCCAATCATCTATTTTTTTACTTTCTATTTGTGCTATAGAGGATGTAAACTTGGTTAATCATCTGCAGTCCTGGAGACCATGTTTCCTTCACCAAAATCGGTTCAAAACATTATTAAACTCTTGAATATGCATTGCTTTTTTAACTAACACTTCTGCTAGGACTAGAATTGGGCAAATTGATGATGAAGAATAGGGAAAACAGAACATTCTAACTTCCTCCACCAAGCATCACAGTTATAGGAAAGAAAGTCATAACTATCAGAGCAAGGAATCTAGTGGCTTCCACAAAGAGTAAGAGATGTGTGATGGTGATTGGTGACTCCCTATTGAGAAGAAGAATCAGCAGTCTGCAGATCAGGCATCCTATCAAAACAGTATGTTGTCCCCTAGGTATGAAGATCCAAGGTGTGAAAGAGAAGCTGACCAAGTAATCAAATCTATTAACCACTATTTCATGTTGAAACAAGCCAGAGAAGAATATTGAAAGATTATGAGACTTTGAAGTCAATGAGCAAAATAACTTGGGGCACAGGTGGTATTTTCATACATATTTCCAATCTGGAAGATATCTTGCTAAGATTACCTGGAAAGCTTTAAACTAAATTTGGAGGGGGACAGTGTCATCCTTTCAATATAGACCAGACTAGGAAACCAAAGTCAGGCAGGTCAACACTACTTTTTATTATAAAGATATAGAAATAGAATCATGAAAATCAGAATGCATTTCACATACACATAAGCACAATTTGTAAGAATTAGGGAAGGTCATGTCTAGGACATTTTTTCAGATTACAGTTCTGCTCCCAGGCTTAGGTTTCTTTTATCTGACCATTGTCTTGGTAGCAGCTTTTCCTCTTGTCCTCCTAGGCCAGTGTTTTGTAAAGTATTGTCCTAAGACCCCTGCAGGTCCCCCAAGACCTTGTCCAGGGGTCCACAAAATCAAATTATTTTCCAATCTATATTGAAAAAGAATTCAGTATTAAAATCCAATTGAACAATTGTGAGAAGCAGCAGCAAATGCATCTATTTTAATTTTTAATATGGTAAATATCAGGAAATAAAATCCATACAAACAAAAGTGCTTTTGGGATTTTCTGTGATTTTTAAAATTGGGAAGGGGTCTGAAAGCAACAGTTTAAGAAACAATGCTCTAGGCCAGTGGTTCTCAACCTGTGGGTTGGGACCCCATTTGGGGTCGAACGACCATTTCACGGGGGTCGCCAAACAATGCAGTCCGCCATTTTTTCCCCTTTTCCTTAGCTGTGCTACTCCCTTTTATTCTACTGGCTTTTGAAAGCCAATAGAATAGACTCTCTTGAATAGAGTCTAATTCTATTGGCTTTCAAAAGCCAATAGGAATTGTCTAGGCTGTCTCTGCCCTGCTGAGCCCTCCAAAAGTCCCATTCTGCAAACGGTGCTGCACCAGTTGAGTAGTCCTCGACTTACGACCGGTTGAATAGTCCTCAACTTACGACTAGTTGGGGGTCGTGCATTAAAAAGGTTGAGAACCACTGCTCTAGGCCACTCCCTCTGCCTATTACAGAGAAGGACCACTGCCTAGAATGGAGATAGAGTTTCAAGATCATGGGAAGAGATAGTCCCAGTCTTTGCTGTACTGGTCAGACTACACTTAGAAAACTGTCCCCTGTTCTGGAGACTAGAATAAGAGAGAATTTTGATCACCATATCACAAAAAAGATATAGAGAGTTTGAAAAAAAATCAGAGAAGAGCAACAAAGATGATCGAAGGCCTGGAGACTAAAACATACGAAGTACGGCTACAGGACTTGGGTTTGGCTAGTCTAAAGAAAAGAGGAAATAAGGGAGACATGATAGCAGTGTTCTAGTATCTGAGGGGCTGCCACAAAGCAGAAAGGGTCATGTTATTCACCAAAGCATCACACGGAAGGATGAGAAACAATGGTTAGAAACTGATCAAAGAGAGAAACAACCTGGAATTAAGGAGAAACTTCCTGACAGGGAGGACAATTAACCAGTGGAACAGCTTACTCCCAGAAATCATGGGCGTTCCATCACTGGAAAATTTTAAGGAGAGACTAGACATTCACCTGTCTTGAGACAGTATAGGTTCTCCTGCAGGGGGCTGGACTAGAAGACCTCCAAGGTCCCTTCCAGCTCTATTCTACTGTATTCTAAACAGGAAAGAGAACAGCAAAAAAAGATGGTAAGAGGCCTGGAAACTAAATCTTACAAAGAGTGGTTAAAGGAATTTGCCTAAAGAAGAGAAGGCTAAAGGGAGATATGATAGCAATCTTCCAATATGTGAAGGGATATCACAGGGAAGAGGATATTGATTTATTTTCCAGACAAAAATCATGGATAGAAGGTTTACAATGAGTAATCCACACTTGAATTAGGAAGGAATATCCTAACTGTGAGAGCTGTCAAGCAATGCAACAGCAGTGCCTTCTCAAGCTGTAGGTGCTCCATTACTGACCAAGAAAAAAAAATTGGACAGCTATTTGTCAGAGATGGTATGAAGGTTCCAGCAATAGGCCGAGGATTGGGCTTGAAGATTTCCAAGCTTCTTTCCAAATTGATTCTAATTTTTGTTTTTGTTTTTTTTGTGTGTGGGGGAATATTCTTCATTTCCAATTCACGTGTTTTACTTTACAACACAGGTCTTACAGAAAGAATTTTTACAAATTCATTTGCAAAATAGATGGCACTAGAGTGGAGGCAAGGTGGGATATAAATAACTTGAGAAGAAAGGATAGAGTGTAGATAATTAGTCAAACTTTTATTCTGTTTATGGCTCATGATCATTCATTAAAAAAGTGTTATTTTTTTCTGTTGGCTTTAGCAAATACTTTACTAATTATACAACATCATAAAATTAGTATTTAAGTGTGAGAGTATGCATGAGTTTATTCCTGTAAATTGTTTTCCTTTGATTGAAAGCTTCCTTTTCTTAAGCTGAAACTACAAATCTATAGATCACACATTAGCCTATACTTCATACCCAGGAATTAACATGGTTAACATCCAAGTTTGTTTGTTTGTTTCCCCAGGAGAGATAATACACTGTATTATATTTGTAATTTATGTAATTCTAATATTAAGGGATCTAGGGGGAAAAAAAACAGCTTATTTTACTCTAATAGTTACCTGGTTTCAATTATATTTGATTTGTTGAATTGCCTTCCCCCTTCACATGGCCCCAAAGATACTGCTGGCACAGTAATGATTTGTCAGTGGGTTGAAACTATAGATATGTTTAGGATGATTTGAGAGCACAATGTGCTTGAAGTTAAATTATGACAAGCTGCATTTAAGATAGGTCAACAATAAAAAATATTTGCGTAAGCCAGTTTGTTACACAACTTCTGCCCAAAGTAAGTTAAGCTCTATATTTTATGATATGAAGTGTGATAATAAGAAACTTGTGTTTCCATCTCTTCTCTTATTTTTATTGGAATATTTAATTCTCAGGAGAATTCAAGTCCATAAGTGTAATTTAGTAGCTGGCTGTGCATCTGTGTGTGTTTATAGCTACTTTCTGTATTTGCTATGGGATTCTGGTTTTTGTTTTAAAATGAACAGCTTTCTAAATGTTTTTTCAATGCAATGCGTTCTTGCTTTGAACTACTTGGTTGTTATTTAATAGTTCCCTAATTTTCTGTTTTCATTCAAAGTGCACCATTAAAATTTTATTTAAAGTTATTTTTAAAAGCTGGAAAACCATGATGCATCTTTGGACTGTGTGGGAGGAATCTGGACCAGGATTCAAAATGAATGATCACATAACTGACCCTGTCACCCACCTCCCATCCCTACCCCATGACCTGATATTTACATTTCTTTGAACTAAGAAGGCATACCAAGTTATCACCATGCCTAGCTTCAGTTATATAAACTTTCTCCTTCACGTCTGCAGCTTGGAGATGCACAACTGGAGTCAAAGCATATGACAGCTTATACCTAGAAGCTCTCCTAGGTTCAAGAATGACTTACATTTTCTTGAACATTTAACATATATTTTTTACATACAGAAGGCATAAGTTATTTTATTGCTTTAGCAGGAGGGGCAAAAGAAAAAGGGGGGAGAGAGAAGGGAAAAACACAAAAAATATAAAGAAAAAAGGGGAAAAACATGTTACATATAAGAAGTTATTTTTCCTAGTTTTTAAACTGATCATTGCACCTTGACCATGTGAAATAATATTGATTGTGTGGAAGTATATTAAAGCCAACCTAAAAGTAAGGAGAAATTTTCTGACAGTGAGAACAATTAATCAGTGGAATAGCTTGCCTCCTGGAGCAGTAGGTGCTCCATTACTGGAAGTTTTCAAAAATAGACTGGATAATCATTTGACTGGGATGGTATAAGGCATCTGCCTTGAGCAGGGGGTTGGACTAGATGACATCCAAGGTCTCTTCCAGCCTTATGATTCTATGTTCTATGTTCCATTGTATTGATAGAGAGCTAACCA